TGGTGTCGGGCTTGACGTTGGCTCTTGTCTTGTTGCGGCCCTGGTAGCAGGATGGTTTGGCCTCTGTCTGGTTGTTGGTCTGGTGGCAGGTTGGTTCGGTGGACTCCGACGACATCTCTGTTTCCAGGCTGCAGTGGTCTATTGTTTTTCTGGACCTGTGTGGGTCTCAGGAGACTTTGAAAGTTCTGAGTCTGGTGCAGGGTTTGTGGGCCTAAATAAGGTTTTACGTTTTTCCTTGGGAGCCACTTAGGTCCTGATGGTGTGGACACACAAGCATATTCTCTCCCCTAGGTAATCAATGGGAAAGGTCCTGATGTCTGTTGTGATTCAGGATCTTTGATCAGCACCGGCGGCTTCTCGGTGAGTTTGGCATGGGTTGAATTGAAGAAGTGCTGTATTACAGGGGGGTCAGGCTCTGTAGGTGAACAATTTAGAAAATTCATGACATACAGAGCTTTACAGAGCCTCTCAATGGGAGGAATGATCTCTGTTCCTCCTCGCTGCTGATCAAGGACTCTCTTAATGTTCTGGTGTGTCCTTTCCACAATTGATTGCCCTGTGGGAGAGTGAGATATGTCCGTGGTGTGCCTCACCCCCCACTGGCTGAAGAAATCTCTCAGCTTGTGAGAGGTGTAAGCAGGTCCATTGTCTGTTTTTATTTGTTGGGGGACTCCCAGGGTAGCAAACACAAGGAGAAAATGTCGGATGGTATGCTTCTCATTTTCTCCTGCGTGGGCTGAGGCAAACACTGCACCAGACGAAGTGTCCACCGAAACGTGAACATATTTAACTCTCCCGAAGGACGGGACATGGGTAACATCAGTCTTCCAAATTTGACAGCTGTTGAGTCCTCAGGGGTTAACCCCAGAATTCATCGCTTGAACTTGAAAAGATTGACAACTGGGACAGGTGGCAACTATTGCCCTGGCCTGATCCCTGGGTAACTTGAACATCCTCATCAGGGTGGGGGCGTTCTTATGGTAAAATTGGTGGGACAATTTTGCTTGCGCAAAAATGTCCAGGACTATGGCTGCTCCAGCAGGCATGGCTAAGGTGTCCGCTCTCTTGTTACCCTCCGCGATGGCACCTGGGAGGTCGGTGTGTGCCCTCACATTCATGACATAGTAAGGTTGCTTTCTGTGAGAGATGAGATATATTAATTCAGAAAGCAATTTGTATAAATTTGGGTTAGAGACCTCTTTCAGAAATGCATGTTCTGCTCTAATAGCTATCCCAGCTACATAAGCCGAATCGGCCACCAGATTGAAAGGTTCTTGGAATTTCTCAAAAGCTCTGACGATGGCTGCTAATTCAGCAATCTGTGGCGATCCCTCAACCACTTGGACATCAGACTCCCACTTCTGTGTCCTGGGGTCCTTCCAAGTCATGACTGACTTGTGAGATTTCCCTGAGCTGTCAGTAAAAACTGTCAGAGCCTTGAGTGGTGTTTTGCTCTGTAATAATTTGGGGACCAAATTAAATGTGGTTTTAAATAATTTGTGGCCAGGTGGGCATAAAGAAATTTGGCCTGAATAGCTATCGAGAGCAAACTGAAGGCTCTCGTTGGTTTGGAGTAAAGGCTCCAAATCCCCAGTGGTCAATGGTAGGAATATGCATGTGAACTCACACCCCACAAGAGTGCAGAGAGGAACTCTTGCTTTTTTAATGAGTTCAGCCATGATTTCCTGCGGAGTCGTGATAGTTTTGGTGGGCTGATTGTGCGTGAAGATCCACTCGATGATAAGGAGTGGATCTTTCAATACCACGTCCCATTGGAAAATGAGCGCATGTAAGCGCGGTGCCTTACCCAGGATAACCAGTTGGAAAGGCAGGCTGGGCTCATAGCGGTGGGCTTGCTGCAAAGACAGGGCCTCCTGGACCTTGGTGATGGATTCCCGGGCTTCTGGCGTGAGGGAGCGTGGTGAATCAAGGTCCTCGCTGCCGCGGAGCAGATTGAAGAGGGGCGCGAGGACTTCCGTCGTTACCCCAAGCAGAGGGCGTACCCAGTTGATGGACCCGCAGAGCTGATGTAGGTCCCGCAGGGTCTTGGGGTCGTCTCTGATGGTCAACTGCTGGGGTACGACGGTCCACTCATGAATCCGGAGTCCCAGGTAGGTCCAAGGGCAAGTGTGCTGGATCTTGTCTCCATGGATTTCAAATCCAGCATCCTCAATTGTCTGGATAGTTTTTTGTCAAGTCCGGTGTAGATAGTCGTCGTCAGCAGCACAAACCAGGGTGTCATCCATGTAGTGGAGGATGACGGAATCTGGGAACAGGGTCCTCACAGGTGACACGATGTAAGCTACGTACCATTGGTAGATGGTGGGTGAATTTTTCATCCCTTGCAGGAGGACCAGCCAATGATATCTTTTTAAAGGTGCCTGTCAGTTTGGGGAGGGAACTGAGAATGCAAACCTGGGCGCGTCTCGAGGATGGAGGGGTATGTTGAAAAAACAGTCCTTTATGTCAATGAGGGCCAGCTTCCAATCCCGAGGGAGCATAGAAGGGGACGGCATACCGGGCTGAAGGGGTTCCATGTCTTCAATGACATTGTTGATCTTCCAGAGGTCCTGGAGGAGTCACCACTTGTCCTTGCCTGGTTTGCGTAGAGCAAAGACAGGGGAGTTCCAAGGGCTGTTGGACTCAGTGATGTGGCCCTTGGCAAGCTGCTCCTCCATGAGGGCTTCCAGTGTGCGCAGTTTGGTCTCAGATAGTGGCCACCGATCAACCCACACTGGATGATGCTGTTTCCAGGTGAGTTGAGGGATGGTAGGCTTGGTACACTCCTCAGTGACCCCCACTAAAAATCCCTACTGGGAATCCGCAGAGAAGCCCTGCATTGGGACAGGAGGTTCCTTCCCCAGAGGATGATTGGTGCTCTAACCACAAATGGCCTGATGGTCACCATTTTCCCCTCGGGTCCTTCGATGACAACATTCTACTTGCTCCTCATGGAAGCTGTCATCCCTCCAGTTCCCGAAATCATGCCTGCCACAGATTGTAAGTCCCAATTGTCTGGCCACTCAGAGCAGGTGATGATGGTGACGTCTGCCCCTGTGTCTTAACATGCCTGGGCAATGAATTCTTTCCCCGGAACAAAACAGGCAGCAGTCTATGATGGGTTTGCTGGAGCCCACAGCCTGAGTCCACATAGCGCTGGGGTTGAGGGGAACCTGTTCTGGGCAGTCACTGGGAAGTAAAAAGGCTTGTGCCATGGGAGTCTGTTCTTTTAAATAATAAGGAGGGTCTATGCAGGTCAGGGAGATGGAAATTTCATCTCCAGGGTATATAGTCTGAACCTCAGGAACAGTATGAATTTGCCCTGGAGAGCTGGTTGGATCCCCAAGTATTAAGATGTTGGAGGGACCACCTGGTGGTCCACGTTTCCCTGTGGGGATTTTGTAAATACAGTCACCCTCCATATGTAAAGAGAGTCTAGTTACCAGTTGACGCTGGGTTTCCATCTGAAGCGCTCCACCTGCTGGGCTTGATATCGGGGTCCCTGTGGAGGCAGGATGGTGGGTTTGGCAGGAGGGGTGGAGCGGTGCGGCATTTGATTTGATGTCAGAGTGCGGGGTCGTTCCACGCTCTGCTTGAAGTTTCCCGAACGCCAGTTTGGTCTGGGTAACCGTTGGTGGGCAGGTGGTTGTATAAAATGTCTCTCCGGACAGTCCTTGAATAAATGTCCAGGCTCACCACAGTTAAAACAACGATTTGTGTTGGGGTCTGCAGCATAAGCTCCAGATATCCCCTCTGCCACTCCCTTAGCCACTGCAAGTGCCGCTGTATTCTCACTTGAGGCGGAGGAGTGCTTGGTGCAGGCTTCAACCATTTGATCTATGGTTGGTTCGGGGTCCAGTGGGAAGGCTCACAAAACAGCTTTGCACTCTGAATTAGCATTGGCCATTGCTGTTTTTACTAATAATTCCTTTAGCGCCTGAGGGCTCTCTATTTGATTTTCAATGGCCACTTTTAACTTATCAATATACTTAATAAAGGACTCACTTGCCTCTTGTTTAATATTGGTGAAGCACTGCATCGGCACTTTGTCATCAGGGGTGGTAAAAAGAGATATCTTGGCAGCATTGGCAATATTCTGTAAGGCTGCTTCAGGCAGATCCCAGGCCTGATCTCGGGGCTTTTGGAAATCACCTTCTCCTGCTAATTGCTCCAAATTTAAATTAGGTCTGTTGGCATCTTTAGCATAAACATCTGCCAATTGCTTTAAATATTTTTTCCACTGCCTCTCCCATAACACGTACTCTGCTGGGGAGAGAAGGCAGTTCATTGTATTCTTGATGTCATGCGGGACCATGACGTGGGCAGTGAAGGAGGCTTCCAGCAAGTGTTTAAAAAAATGTGAACCCCGGCCACATTCCTTGGCAGCTTTAGAGTTCCTGCAGTTCCCTATAGTGGAGGGATTCCCATGCAGCAACTTGTGACCCTGCCCTGTCTCTCCTCTGTATTCCCAGAAAGGCAAGTATTTTCCGAGACAGAGCTGAGTTCCCCGCCCGTGTGGCTTCCCTTTGCACCTCAGCCAGTGGTCTTCATATTCAGAATCTGAATAGGAAGAATCACTGCTCTCATCCCCTTGTGGAGATGGGGGGCTCTTGGTGATAGCACGGGGCCAACTCGGGTGCCTAGGGTTGGCCCTTTTGGGATTCTTGGTCCTGGGGTGTTGAGATCCTGGAGCAGGTGGGCTGCTGGGGGCGGGTCCCCAGCACAAAGGGGCAGGACCGGGGTCCATGATGGGGAGGAGTTTCCCAATGGATGGAGTGGGGCCTGATGCGGTTACACCCAATGATGCAGTTGGAGGGGAGGAAGAACAGGACGTGGCAGGAAGAGAAGGGGTGAAGGCGGGAAAGTGGCCATTTTGGGTGTCGAGGGCGGGAAAACTGGGTGGGAGTGGGACAAAATGGCGGGGCTGGCCATGTTGCTGGTGCCATCTGTGCTAATGCTAGGAACTGGGGGGGACACAACCGGGTGTGAGGGCATGGGAGAGAGGTTAGAGGAAAGACTCAAAGCAGCATGGCCATTGCCTCCCTGGTAAGGGTAGAGGGATGGTGGGGGGGTGTCAGGGAGATGGCAGCACTCCTGTGCCTGGGGGCAACGTCCACCCGCTGACTGCCCCTCAGATAGGGAAGAGGGTTTAGGGACACTTGGAGAGGTTGACGGGGATGGGGGCTTCAACTGGGGACCCAAAACTCCTTCAACCTTTTTCCCCTCTTTTTCCAATGAAAGGATAATATTTTGAAACACAGGAAAAAATTTGGCAACAGAAAAATCTCCCCTCGCTTGAATATAACAGTATATAACTTTACCCCCACATTATCTCCAAAATTTCCCTGTTTAACAGAATCAGCATCCATCTTAAAATGTTTAAAAACCCAGTGAATAAACCTCTTTAACTCCTCTTTAGAAAACTTAAAATTTTTCGCTTTTAGGGTGCCCACAACTTGGACGAAAAAGTCTCTGCAACTCCTGGAAAAGCGATCCGCGGTTGGAATGCCAGGGGCACAGACACGTCCACTGCCCAGCGAGTGATTTCAGCTCAGCTCAGCTCAGCGGCAGCGTGCAGGCGACACGGAGGGAGAGAGCAGAGCGGCATTCCAGAGAGAACTGGCCTTTATTACAGCCGGGCTCTAGGTGAAGGGAGCCAGTGACAGCAGCTCTCCTGAACAGGGGAAAAACTGGGGTATTTATAGGGGAGGAGAGGGGCGGGGGAGAAACTGGGATACAGGTATTGGGGTGGGATGGCAGGGGAGAACATCAATGGAGTTTAACAGTTTAACAAAACTAACTCAAAGATTTCTGGGAGTGATACTTTTCTCTCTCTTAGAGAAAAGTATCTTGCCTCCAAGGGAGGGCCAGGATCTCTGAATTAACCAGTGGGTTACCTGGCCCCCACAAAATCTCCTCAAAATTCCACAAAAATTCCACAAAATTCCAGAAGCATTTTACAAAATCTTCTCAAAATCCCACAAAATTCCAGAAAAATCCCACAAAATTTCCAAAATCTCCTCAAAATCCCACAAAATTATTTAAATTTTCTCAAATTCATACAACATTCCAGATGAATCCCACCAAATTCCATAAAATTTCCATGAGATTCAACAAAATTTCCACAAAATTCCATAAATCTCCTCAAGATCCCACAAAATTCCATAAAAATCCCACAAAATTCCCACAATCTCCTCAAAATCCCACAAAATTATTTAAATTTTCTCAAATTCCTACAAAATTTCAGATAATTCCCACAGAATTCCACAAAATTTTTAGGAAATTCAACAAAATTTCCACAAAATTCCCTAAAACTCCACAAAATCCCATAAACTCCCACAAAACTCCCACAAAATTCCATAAATCTCTTCAAAATCCCACAAAATTTCACAGAAATCCCACAAAATTATTTAAATCTCAAAATCCCACAAAATTCCTGAAAAATTCCACAAAATTAATTAAATCTCCTCAAAATCCCACAAATTTGTGAAAAAACCCACAAAATTATTTAAATCTTCTCAAAATCCTACAAAATTCCAGGAAAATCCTACGAAATTTTCTACATTTCCTCAAAATCCCACGCCTGATGGGTTGACATTTAACAAAATAAAGGGAAACACCTAAGAAAGTTCAAGCTGCTGGAGGCTGAGAGGAGTTTTTCTACTGGCCCATAAGAGGCCATTGCTGAGAACTGACAGCAGTTTTGACCATTGAAAAGTGACATCAATCTGGGAACACCGCTTGAAGACCTAAGGCCGGCAATTTCTCGCTCTCTTTGCTTTGCGCCTTTTGAAGAGGTAGCAGGGCTCCGCTTCAGCCTCCTTCCCCCCAGGCCAGCCAAGGCCACGGGAGGGGAGCGGGGCTGGCCGCAGCTCTGCGCTTCCCGGGGAGGATGGAGACTGGCAAGTGACAGGAGCCCCTTCTCAGAGGCTTGGCTGGGCCTTGCACAGCGGGGCTGCCGGGCCAGGCCGCTCCCTGCCTGGGCTGCACTTTGTGCCGCTGCTCAGTTTCACCACAGGCTGCCCACTAAAGGCAGGGAAAGATATGAGCTTGCAGCGTGCTGAGATAATGGCCACAACTCCCCACAGCAGCCATGGAAAAAAAATCTTCTAGCGCAGACAGCTCCAGCTGCTGCTCCAGCAGAGATCCCGGGACCATCCACAAGACCTGGGCAAGAGTTTAACCCTTTCACTACTCAGATTGATAGTAAAAGGTTTTAAAATCATACAAAATTTGGGGACTTAGAAAGAAAGTTAGGCTTGGCAAGCCCTGGGAAAAGTAGGCCCTGGGAACTGTCAGGCCTTGTACTTGCTAAAGATCAGGTGAAGCTGCACCTGTGGAATCAGTAATTATGTAATAAATGATACAATTGTTAGATGTGATTAGATGTAATTATTGTTTAAATAACATGAGGAACAATGTTAGAGGGCTAGGGGAGATCACGAGAAATCCATGCTTGGGTAAAAACAATGCATACAATAGAACAATGTAAGTTTAATAATTAATATGTAAGTTATTGTCCTGGGTTGATTATGATGTTAAATTGTATCCCCATTCGTCCACCTAACACAGACACAGGTTTTGTATTCTTAAAATTCCATCTAAGAGTAAAAGTGAGTGGAAAAGAAGCACCGAGTCTGTTATCAGAGACTGTACTTGCTCCCCCCGAGCATCGGGAGGTTTGACTACAGCACAGACAGACAACAAGGCACAGATCGCCTTGGCTTTCCAACTAGCCAGAGCAGAGAGGTCTTCCTGGACTGTTTTCTTTCACTTTTTCTGAAATGAATCGAACCTGCTCGGGACTGGGGACTCGGGGGAGCACCGGGAGCTTGCACCCGTGGACTACCGGGAGCCCAGCCTGGGCAGCGGCATTTTCCAGCGCCAGAGGGACTGATAACAGAGCGAACACCCACAGGAAAGAGACCCTCTGAAGCTTGTCATCTTTTCTGAACGGTGAGAGGTTTTGTAATTTGATATCATTAATTTTTGTGCTGGGTAGTGCTGTGCCTGTGAATAGGTTTTTTTCCACTTCTCTCAGAGAAATCTCTTCTCGAACTGGTTGGGGGTTGGAAGAAAAGGGCCACGTGGGTTTGCTTCCCAGGGGGAGCCCCACTGGAGGTTTTCTCCCAAATTTGCCCTAAACCAGGACAATTTGTTTTTAGAGTCTCTGTGACTGTTGACACTAACTGGTCTACCTGACCTCCCGAGGGTGCAGCAATCAGGATGTCGTCCATGTACTGGATGATGGTAGCAGTCGAGTTGCTATGACGGATCAGTGCTAGTGCTCGATCGACTATTTGACAGATTTAGGTGAGTTGACCATCCCCTGAGGCAGCACTTTCCACTGGAAGCGTAGGTTGGGGCGCTGGCTGTTTGGAAACACCACTGAGAAAGCAAACGGCTCTCTGTCTTCTTCATGTAAGGGTATAGAAAAGAAACAGTCTTTGATATCAACAACAGCACAGGGTTGGCCCTCTGGCACCATAGAGTTCACAGGTAACAGGGTTTGAACAGGTCCCATGGGTTGAGTTTTCTTATTTACTTCACGTAAATCGTGGAGGAGGCGAAACCCTTCTCTGGATCGTTTAGGGATTACGAAAACTGGGGTATTCCACGGGCTAGTAGATGGCTCTATGTGACCTTGTTGTAGTTCACGGTTAACTAACTCAGGAAGGGCATCTAATCAAGGCTTGGACAGGGGCCACTGCTCTACCCACACCGGGTCGGATGATTTCCAAGAAAGCCTGATTGGTGGCAGCGGGTACACGGCAGTGACCCTTAGGGTAAATTTGTCACCCTGGCTTTTAGCAAGGCTAGGGCATCCCTCCCTAGCAGGGCTGGGATTCCTGTCATGACATACGGGAAGAGGGCAATAGTTTTCTCCGGCCCTTTTTCTGTGTGGAGTGTAATGGCTATTAGCTGTGCGCTTCTCCGAGCCCGTGACAACTCTCCAACCCCGCCTACCATGGGGGCATCCTCTAGTTTCCAGAGCAGAGGCCAATTTGTCTCTGGAATGACTGTGACATCTGCCCCAGTATCAATTAGAAAAGGAACACTGATAGATCCAGAGGGGATACTTTGATCACCTGAGGTGTCATAAAGGGAGCAGATCCCCCATATGACCGGCGGGTTGTCACACCTTACTGCCAGGGCCACCCTGGGGTCATGTCCCCCGAGTGTGATCCCTGCTGCCCCTGAGGCAGGTAAGGCAGGGTTGGCTGAGTAACCAGCTGAGTCATGAAAGTGGTTGCCTCTCGGGGGGGTAATGGATTTAGGAGCATCTCTGTCCTTGCAGGATTGGCATAACTGGGCCGCCACGCATCCCAAGTGGGAGAGGACTGTGTGCAGCCCTGCTGTCCTCTCCCCCTTCCCGTTTCCCTGAGCCTTGGATCTGCATTCTCTGGCAAGGTGCCCCTTTTTCCCACAAGCCCAGCATGGCCCTTTAAATCGGTTCTGCTGCGAGGTGGGCGCTGCTAGGGCCCCCCTCTTTGGGGCAATTTGCAGCAACATGACCTGCTTGGCCACATTTGAAACATGCCATCGCTTTAGCGATTGCTGTGCAGACTGCAGTTTGAATCAGAGCTACCTGTTCCTCCCTCGTGACATGCTTAATCATGTCTGCGATATTTGACCCTGCCGGTAATGATCAGAGGATTTCCTTGGTTGTCGAATTGCATTGTTGACGCAAGCAGTCTGCCATGACTGGGCCTTTTGCCTCTGGGGGCAGGGCCGAGGAGTCAACAGCTGCCTGAAGGCGGTCTACAAATTGTGTAAAGCTCTCACTTTCGTTTTGCTTTATGGTAGACCATGGTGATGGCTTAGCAACAACTCTAAAGGCCGAGCGAATAGCTTCTCTGGCCGCACGAGTGGTTGTCATAACTTCATGGGCTCGCATACCCTGGGCTTGTGCCTGAGGTGTAACCATGGCTGGGTCTGTGCCCATTAACCGCGGCAGGCTGTAGCCATGTAGTGGATGGTCTGCCCCAGTTATTTGGGCTAGGTGTCTGGCACAGTTGTCTTCCCAATCTTGTTTAAAAACAATCATCCCTGCTCCATTGAAAAACAATCTGCAAGTGTGCTTTATATCAAAAGGGAGCAGGTCGTCACCTCCAAAAAGACCATCGATAAGGGAGGTGACCATGGCAGAAATAAGCCCTTTTCTGAAATTGCTTTAACAATAGTTTTAACTTCTTTAGGATTTATTGGTGAGTAAACTCTCTGTCCCCCCTCAGACACCTGGACTGGGAATGCTAGCGCGTCTGGAGGGACCCAGGTGGCATATGCTGCTCTTATCTGACCCCTGTCTGTGAGAGGGGTATCCTCTCTCAGTTCTTTTTTAATGTGGAGGGGGGTATTCTTGTTTATCTTTATTGTTTCCTCTTCTGAGGACTCGGCCTCCGACCATTCCTCTTCGCTAGTATCTTGATCGGAGTCAGAACTCGACTGGCTAGCTACTTCCTGTTTCCCGTGCCTTTTTGTTGGGCTCCGACCCCGCCTACCACCCCTGTGGGCAGGCTGTTCCCTCCCTCCTGGCTCTCCCCGCCCTTCAGTCCACCCTCCACTCCACCTTTCACCCCACCTTTCGCTCCGCCCTTCACCCCACCTTTCACTTCACCCTTCATTCCACGCTCCGTTCCTCCCTCTGCTCCACCCTCCTCTCCTTTCACTCTCCCTCACATTCTTTTCCCTTTCCCTCTTTACACCTCCCCCGCATCCTTCTTCTTCACATTCCTTATCTCTCCCAACCCCCTGACTATGTTAATCTTTCAATGCCAGCATTTGTTCTTTGTTTTCACTAAAGATATTTCTTTCTCGCTGTATGTCTTTTTGCTCAGCGCCATTTTTAAGCCCCTGGGGGGATGCTTCCCCCCTGGCTTTCTCTGCAACACCTCTGGCTTCTTCTGTTAACTTCCTCCAAAAATCTCCTGCTTTCTGCTGTTCATTTGAGAGCAGATCAGGGTTCGGGGATTGAGGGGACGTATCGCCCTCTTGTGTCCCCTTTGGCTCAGCTGAGCTGCTCTCTGTCTGCTCTCGTCTGGGGGCTCTGAAGTCTGTGTAGTAGCATTAACTCCCAGTTTCGGGGTGGCCAACAGACAGTTTTTTGCCGCCGTCCAGGTCTCTTGCTTTTGTCTAGCTTTTTTCAAAGCTTTGAAGACCTTACCCCATGACTTAAAATGTTTCATACTACCCAAATCTATAGTTTCATTAGCGAGAGCTCTGGTACATTTCTCCCACACCTCAGGGTGGAGAATCTCCACTGGTTGCTCTATAACCCCAATATGCAAAAGCCTTGCGATAGCAAGCGTAAAATCCTTAGATTTGCAATCTATTCCCCACTGTTTATGTAATTCAGATACAACCTTTATCAATGATTCCATCTTCGTAGGGATGTTTCCCTCGCCAGGACTGGTCCAGCCAGTCCTGACAGCCGCTCCCGTTTTCCAGATAATCCTCACTTTCTAGGTTTGAATCCCACTTCTTCCCGGGTTTCCAGCACCAAATGTTGTCTTTTAAGCAAGGCAAACACCCTGGTTCAAGGAAAAGCACAGTGGTCTCCCCAGGCCACTCGGTCCATTACCCACAGACACCAATGTGATGGATGGCGACAATGGCACTTATTGCTGAAGAATTTGACATTTTATAACTTAGGGTCACTGTGTTACTCCCATCTGCTTTCATCACAGCTAGGTGCTATTGGCTAATTGCAGAAGGCATTACCATACCAACGAGGAGGGGGGGGTTACTATCTTTCCGTTATCTTCCGAGCACCGGGCCTTACTTCTACAGGCCACCTGCCCTGCTGTGGCTCACCCAGCTTCTCCAGAAGCCACCATCCCTTCAGGAGGCTGCTCCCAGCAAGATTCACCATCCATGGGAGAGCCTCAACCCTTGCAAGGATGGCACAGCGGAGAAGACCCTCCATCCATGCAAGAAGCTCATGCTGTCAGAGAACGTCCATGGTGCCAGGAGCCTCTGCTATCTCTGACAGCCTCCATCCCTCAGAGAGGCTCAGCCAGACCTGGCAGCCTGCAGAAGGTGCAGAGCCCAGGGACAGGTCTCCCAGCTCCCTTGGACCCTTGGACTTCGACAACACGGGCGCAACCCTGACCACTGGCATGGCCTGGGAAAACCCACAGGTCCAAGTGGGAGCCCAGCCTGATCCAGGGGAGGCATCTCAGGAGCAGGTGGAGGAGCAGCTAGTGCCCTGGAGCCAGGAGCTGCCGGACCACAGCTCCCAGGTGATGGTGCTGGACGTGCCAGCTGGCACCAGCCTGTGCCTGGTGGAGGAGACAATTCCTGTGGGACCAGGGAGTTTCCTCCATCTCCAGGAAGCTGATCCCATGCAGCCACCGACTACCAGCAGGGCCTCTGTACCAGCAGGTGAGACCTGAGGAGCTGTCTGAGGCTCCCATGGGGCTCTTGAGGGACATTCCCAAGCCAGGCCAGGGCTTCTGAGAGCAGCCTAGTTGCTGGCTGTTTTCTAAAGACCCTGATGCCAGGGCTTCAAACAACCCCTCTCTGCTTTGCAGCTGCTCCTGGGACCCCCCTGTGTGAAGCATCAGGCTGTAGCTCTGGCCGTCCACAAGAGCAGACTCCAGCCCAGGATGCCAGGGACAGTGACAGTGCCACTCTGCCCGGCTCCACTCGGGCTCCTGCAGCCACCTCTGCGCCCTGCCCTGGTCCAGCTCTGCTGCTCGCCAGCCTGACGGCTGCAAGGCAGTGGCCGCTGCCTGGCACGCAGCAGGAAGCAGATGAGAGCAAGGTGGCCGGCACTGGCTTGGGCCACTGCACTGGCAGGCACTCAGGGGGTTCCTGGGCACGAGGCTGATGGCTCAGTCTTGGCCACAGGGCACAAGAAGGAGCTGTGGGAGCTGTACCAGCTGGGCCCACAGCTAGGGAGCAGTGGCTTTGGCACCGTTTTCTCGGGGACCCGCCTCTCAGATGGGAGCCCGGTAATGGGCTGGGATGGCCAGGCGTGGCAGGAGGGCCGGGGGCGGCACGGGGCAAGTCTCAAGCCCCCCTCTCTCCACGGCTTGCAGGTGGCCATCAAGCACGTGGCTTGGGACATGGTCCTGCAGTGGGATGAGTTGGTGAGTGAGCGGGGACAGCGGGACAGAGCAGGCCGTGGCAAACAGGGATAAGGCCAGGACTGAGGGCAGGGCATGGCTGGGAGCAGCGGGGAGTGGGCTCAGCGTGCGAGGCCCAGCATAGCAGGCCCGGGGATGCCAAACAGCGGTGGTGGGTCCAGGCAGGGGCCACCTCCCAATCAGTCCCCAGGCAGAAGGAATGCCAAGCAGCAGGGAGGCTGCCCAAGGTGGCACTGGGGCATCCCGGGCAGGGGCATTGCAGCCACAGGGCAGCTTCAGGCCCTGTGATGGAGGCATTGTTTCGTCCTCACAGACTGACGGCACCCGTGTTCCCGTGGAGATTGTGCTGATGGAGAAGGTGGGCTTCGGCTGCTGCAGAATCATCCAGCTCCTTGACTGGTTCGAGCTGCCTGACAGCTTCGTGCTGGTGATGGAGCATCCGGAGCAATCTCGGGATCTCTTGCACGTCCTGCTGGAGCAAGAGTTCCTGAGTGAGGAGGCGGCGCGCTGGCTTTTCTGGCAGGGGCTGGAGGCCGTATGGCACTGCACCGCCTGCAGCATCCTGCACTGGGGCATCAAGCCAGAGAACCTCCTCGTGAACCCGGAGACTGGCAACCTGAAGCTCATCGAGTTCAGGTGTGGCACCTTCCTCCAGGAGCAGGCCTGCACACAGTTTGCCGGTGAGCCCAGAGCACGGGCCCTGCTCCCAGTGCCAGGCACTGCACGGCCCATTCCCTCCTGGGCCGCAGGGTGTGGCATTCAGCTGGCTGCCGGCTGCCGGCTGCCCTGTGGCACGGGGCAGATGCTGTGTCCCAGGAGCCGGCTGCCAGCCCTGCTGACAGAAAGGGGTTGCAAAAGCCGGGCCCCGGCTCCTCGGCT